TAAAGTCTTTATTGCATTTGTTACAATATTGCTTCTGATTTATGTTTTGGTTTTTTGGCCGCGAGGCATGTGGGATCTTAGCTCCCCAGCCAGGGCTTGGACCCGTACCCCCTGCACTGGAAGGCGAAGTCTCAACCACTGGCCCACCAGGGAAGTCTCTGTTCTTCTTTTCAAAATTGTTTTGGCTACTCTAGATGTTTTGAGTTTCTGTATAAGTTTTAAAACTGACTTGTCAATTTCTACAAAAACACCTGGTGAGATTTTGATTGAGATTGCATTGAATCTATAGATCAGTATGGGATGGAATGGCAATTTGACAATATTGAGTCTCCCAATTTATGTACACAGCATCTCTATTTATTCAGGTCTTCTTTAATTTCTCTCAGCAGTGTTTTATAGTTTAAAGTGTAAAGATCTTGTACATAATTTCTTCATGTTTTTGGATGCTAAAGTAATTAGTTTTTTTATTTTTTCGGTACGCGGGCCTCTCACTGTTGTGGCCTCTCCCATTGCGGAGCACAGGCTCCGGACGCGCAGGCTCAGTGGCCACGGCTCATGGGCCCAGCCGCTCCACGGCATGTGGGAGCTTCCTGGACCGGGGCACGAACCCATGTCCCCTGCATCAGCAGGCGGACTCTCAACCACTGCGCCACCAGGGAAGCCCCGTAATTAGTATTTTTAATTACAACTTTTAATTTTTCATTGGGATTATATAAAAATAAAAATTTAAAATATTGACCATGTATCCTGCAACCCTGGTAAACTCATTTCTTAGTTGTAGTAACTTTTTATTGTAGATTACTTAGGATTTTCTACGTAGATGACTATGACAACTTCAGTTAAAAACAAGTGTTATATATTCTTATCCAACGTGTATGCCTTTTATTTTGTTTTCTTCCCTATTTTACTAGCTAGGACAGTACAATATTAAATAGAAGTGGCAAGAGAAGATATCCTTGCTTTGTTTCCAATCTTAGGTGGATAGCATTTAATCTTTCACTGTATGTATGATGTTATCGAGGTTGAGGAAGTCCCCTTCCATTCCTAGTCTGCTGATATATATTAGTGTGAGTGGATGTTCAATTTTATCAAGTGCTTTTCTGCATGTATTAAAATGATTATATGTTTTTTCTGGTCATATAGTGAATTATGTTGATCAGTTTTCAGATGTTTCAGCAACCTGCATTTGTGGGATAAATCTCTCTTGTTCATGATGTATTACCTTTTCAATATGTTGCTGGATTTGCTAATATTTTTTAAGGATTTTTGTATTTGTTTATGGAAGATACTGGTTTGCAGTTTTCTTTTTCTTTTCATGTATGTTTTGTCATTTTTGGTATCAGTGTAATGCTGATATCATTAAATGAATTAGGAAATATTCCCTCCTCTTATATTTTGAGTTGTGTAGAGGTGATACTATTTCTTCTCTTACTGTTTGAGAGAATTCACCAGTGAAGGCATCTGGTTTTGTGTGTGTGTGTATGTGTAAAGGTTTTTTAAACTGCAAATTCAAATTTAAATAAAATAGGATCATTCAGGTTGTCTGTTCATTTCTTCTTAAATGAGCTTTGATAATTTGTATCTTTCACGGAATCTATTTCATTTAAGCTACATTTATTTCTGTAAAGTTAGCATATTATTCACTTATTTTTTAATGTCTGTAGTGCTATAATGATTATTCTTGATATTGATAAATGTATCTTCTCTTTTTTTCCTCAATTTGGCAGAAGTTGGTCAATTTTTTTCTTTTTTGCGGTACACGGGCCTCTCACTGTTGTGGCCTCTCCTGTTGCGGAGCACAGGCTTCGGACGCGCAGGCTCAGCGGCCATGGCTCACGGGCCCAGCCGCTCTGTGGCATGTGGGATCTTCCCGGCCCGGGGCATGAACCCCTGTCCCCTACATCAGCAGGTGGACTCTCAACCACTGCGCCACCAGGGAAGCCCCAGAAGTTGGTCAATTTTACAAATTGTTTCAAAGAACCAGCTTTTGTGTTCACTGACTTTCTCTATTATTTATTTTCATATTTTCATTATCTCCTATTTTATTTTAGGTCTAATTTGCTCTTCTTTCTCTAGGTTCTTAATGTAGAAGCTTGGATTGTTGATTTCAGACCCTTTTTCTTTTGTAATTGAGTATTTAAGGCTGGTAATTTCCCTCTAAGTAATACTATAACCACAGCTACATCTCACAAATTTTGATGTTATATTTTTATTTTTATTCATTTCAGAATATTTTCTAATTCATGTTTTCTTCTTTGACCCATAGGTTATTTAGAACAGTGTTGATTAATTTCTAAATATTTAAAGATTTTCCAGATATATTTCTTTTTTTCCCACTTCCTAGTTATTTTACTACATTTTGCTATTATCTATACCCTTGAGGTTATTTACACTTATTTTATCTGTATGGTAGAAATATTGCATAACAGCATGCAGTAGTGCATCACTTGTCCCATGCCATCACATTAGTGCTTGAAATCAGCCATGGTGGGAGTATTTACATCACTTAGATTTACCAGCACACTGAGGATATAAGGGGAATATTTTCTCCCTTGAAAATCTTGGTGTATAAATCCTTAGACACTAAAAGTCATCCAGATATCTGTTTTGATATCTAATTTAGTTCTATTGTGGTCTGGGAACCTATTCTGTATACTTTCAAAGCATTTAAATTTATTGAGGCTTGTTTTATCTCTCAGAATATGCTCCATCTTGGTTGGTGTTATATGTGCACTTAAAAAGAATGTGTATTCTGCTGTTGTTGGGTGAAGCATTGTATAAATGTTAATTAGGTCAAATTTACTGATGTTTTTCAAGTGTTTTCTATATTTACAGATTTTGTTTATAGGTTTTTTTCAACTAATCAGAGAGAAATGCTGAAATCTCCAATGATAATTGTAGATTTGACTTTCCTATTAGTTTGATAGTTTTTGCTTTATTGTTTTAGAGCTCTGTTATTAAGAATGTTTTTTCTTCATGAATTTTCAATGCTTTGTTATAAAATTATAGAATTCTAGGCTAATTCATTTTTATCTCAGCATTTTTTAAAGCCCTACTGTTGTCTCTAGCTTGCATAATTTCAGAAGCAAAGTTTGCAATTTTTTATCTTTGTTTCCCTGTTTTTATTTTACATACTTCAGATTCCAAATAATTTCACATATGTTTTCTCATTTAGCTTTATGATTATTTGTACTGAGACGTTTTTGTAGTTTCACTCAAATCAGTAAACATTTGTGGAAGGAAAAAGATTTTATAGATAACTACTTTTTAAAGATTTCAAAAAACCCCAAACTCCTTAAAAGCACTAATACTTATTGTCACTTAATTACACAGAAATTGTTAGTTTCAAATGAGATCAGCCATATTTAAAAGATGATAAGATAAAACTAGAACAGAGTCCATCCCCCTTTGTTTTGTGCTCTTGCTTCTCTAAGCTTAGAAGTGGATTTTCTTTCATTTGAAAAGGCTAAGCAAATGTGTTTATGTTGTTATAAGATATTTTATAGTAGATCTTAGTTGTGAAAGTGGATCAATAACAAGATTAATCCTGATAATTTCTTACTAATAATTACTAATAATAGAAGAGAATAATCTCAGTGCCAATTTAAAATAAATTGGTATGTGATATCTGTGAAGAAGCTATCAATTTAGAGCACCCATTAATAAAAACAGTCCTAAAAATGTTTATATAGTCACATTATATTTGTCATGGATATTTGTACTTTTTGACCCCCAAGTACATGGGGCTGAAGACCAGGTGCAACTTAGAATTAATTAAGCTGGTCAATAAGAATTGTGTTACATCAGAATTATCTCTAAATATATACAACCAAGGCCTAAATGACAGATGGAAAAAATTAAATTAGCTATTGTGATTTACCTAAAAGTTCTGAGGTTTTTTCATTTTTAGTCTGAACAGTTTGATTATAAATTAGTTAATATGTGCTGAATGGTAAGCCTAAGCTAGATGGAGTTGGTAGGTGGTATTTAAAGATTTAACCACAGTGCCATATTACTCTTGGCCCCCCCAAATCCCACATTTCTAGCACTTTATGCAAGAAATGATCACTGTTTTTTTCCTTTGTAGAAAATTTAAATCTGTTTTTGTTATTCTACTTTTTATTTATTTTGTTATTTTTTTGTGGTACACGGGCCTCTCACTGTTGTGGCCTCTCCCGTTGCGGAGCACAGGCTCCGGACGCGCAGGCTCAGCGGCCGTGGCCCACAGGCCCAGCCGCTCCGCAGCATGTGGGATCTTCCCGGACCAGGGCACGAACCCGTGTCCCCTGAATCGGCAGGCGGACTCTCAACCACTGCGCCACCAGGGAAGCCATCTACTTTTTATTTGTCTATTTGGCTGCACCGGGTCTTAGCTGCCGCTTGTGGGATCTTCATTGCGTCATGCAGGATCTTTAGTTGTGGCATCTGGGATCTTAGTTGTGGCTTGTGGGATCTTTAGTTGTGGCACACAGGGTCCCTAGTTGTGGCATGCGGGATCTTTAGTTGCGGCATGTGGAATCTAGTTCCCTGACCAGGGATTGAACCTGGCCCCCCTGCATTGGGAGCATGGAGTCGTAGCCACTGGACCACCAGGGAAGTCCTACTTCTTATTTTTAAAAGATTCACTTGGTTTTATATTTTTCTGTGACAGGTATCTTCACACAAGGACAGCTGGGCCTGGTAGACATCATCTTCCAGTACATTCACTGTGATGAGATCTATGAGGCAATAAACATCCTGAATAGTATGAACTGGGACACTCTGGGCTACCAGTGCTTTATCAGCATGACTGCCATCGTAAACCATCTTCTTAGACAAAAGCTCACTCCAGAGAGAGAAGGTCAGACTTAAAATATATTTCATAAATGGGTTTTGTATATACATGAAGTACATTTTATTGTCAGTTGTTTTTTGAGGATGTTTTGAAGTCATGTTACTGGAGATTAGAAGACAAAAATGTTAATGCCCTATTAAACTGACAAAATGAGATATCAAATAATTACTTCCATACGGTACTTACTGTATAGTACTGGTCAACATAATAACTTTTCTGTATATACCTATGTTGGAACTCACAATGAAGTCACTGTATATTTCAGACTAAGTTCATGTGTAGAATATACTCAGATTTCAAACTTTGATGAGAAATTTCATGTACTCTGTAGGGTTTGGAAGACAAAGGGCCCTAAACAAAGTCCTTATTTCTCCTTTACTTTAGACATCAGTATTTTTCTTTCACATCCCAAGTTCTTTGTCCAGACAGTAGACCTTATCACTGATTGTGTGTGTGTGTGTGTGTGTGTGTGTGTGTGTGTGTGTGTGTGTGTGTGTGAGAACTGCAGCCCAGGCTGTTCCTTCTTGTTTTCATTCTAACTTAGAGTTCTGATACCCCTCTCCCTTCTGCATGCTTGGATTTCCCAACCTTCTCCTAATAAGTTATTTTGCCCATAGGATCTCAGATGTTTATTGTCAAAGAGAGACAAGGCACTGTTAACAAAAAAGAAAAAAAATATGTGCCACATACAATAATGAAATCAATTTTTATATTTGCCAGTTATCCAGTGTATGTTATTTTTATTACGAGTAATTTATTTACTTAATGTAAAATGCATCTAAACATTCTTGCATTCATATCTTTATTTCAAATGTTTGTAATAAGCATTGATATTAACAGGGGGAAATAATGGCCAATGAGAAACTTTCTGTATGTGATTTACAAGGTAAGGAAAACAGGGAATATGTCAAAAGGCCTTTACTGGAGAGCTTTGCTTCCCCACTATTTTCTTTCCATGTTTATAGATTTTCTTATTCCATTTTATTACGTTTCCAAAGTAAACAAATTGTTTAGATAGTATTCTGTACATAACCTTCATTTTACTAATTTTAGAGAAGAATAATCAGCAAGAACATGTTCTTTCAAGAAGTCTGCATCGTGAGACTTGGCCCCAACTCATAGGAGGCCCACAATAAATATTTATTTAATGTTAATTGAATGTGCTTTTTGGAGGTAGTCCAACACATCTACAGAGATTCCAATACTTCTGCAATGAGAAAATGCATAGCACAGTGCTTGGCCCACAGTAGGTACTCAATGAATATTAGTTAAAAGTAAAAAGAAGATTATAACTTCAAAATTTTAGGGTTCTACGATTACTGTAGTATTTCTACCTACAGAGTTATATCAAGTAATTATTTATTAGTATTGGTACACTCTTCAGGTTGGGTAGATAGCAGAGGAAAAAAAAAGTAGCAGGGTCCCTAAAGAAAGCCTGGTACACATAATCCATGCAAGATACTCTAAATTTACAGTTGAAGAAATATGAAGAAGATAAAATATTGACTCTTAGGAGACTGAGAAATTGCTAGCACCTTAGTGAATTTGTGTTGTAAGATCCCTGTGTAGTAAGAAAGATTATTAGGGAATTCACAAATGGGTATTATCAGATTCCTGCCTTAATAAAGGAAACTATCAAGGAACCATATTGGGTGGATAGGGAAATAAAAAGCTTGTATGATATATTAGGCTATTAAAATAAAATGCTTGCATGATGCTGGGTTATCAGAATATGTACATTTTAAGTAGGTATATGCATTTTCCCCCACGTAACTGCAAAACACATTTCTAAAACATTTACAATTCTTCTCTATTGAGATTTATTCTATCTGAATCTAACAAATTTGACATGGTAATTTGTTTTCCTCTTATTAGTGGAAGCCAGTGAGCTCTTTTATTTGTAGCTATGCTGTGGTTGTCTTTGAGATCTTCATTTCTGCCTTAAACATCAAGCTGGGCTATCTAATGAATCTATAACTGTGCTGGGAGCTACGAGTATTCCATGTAGGCTCAAACATTTCAGATGTACGGAACATGCTGTCAAGAAAACAAGCAATGGCAAGAGAATCTGGCTTGCTTTCACAATGGCCTTGCTGTATTCAATTTTAATCTGAATTGACTGCTGCTTTGAAAGAAAATACCACTAAAGTTCATCTTACTTTACTGTCTAGATTTGAGATTAAAAAAAGAAATAGCTAACAGCTTAGCCAAGTCCATAGCAATTACTCTGATGAGGTATGCAATACTTTCAAACCCAGATATGCTTAAAATTAAAGAGTTTTGCTAAATAAGGAATTGTTCATTCAACCTAGTGCTAGTAGCATAAAAATCCGTGGAGTCTTACTGTGAACTGTATTCTCATACAACTCTCACCATTATGGTAATTATATATTTTCCAGGTATTTCTTGGAGGAAACACAACCCCATTGGCATGTCTTGGTAAAAGTGTAAATTAGGCAAAATGTGCTTTTTTCTCCCAATCACTAGCCCTTTGGCTTATCAAAACCTGCTCTCCAATCCTTCCTTCCTAGGAGGGTGTCAGTTGACCAAAGCAGATTAACATACCTCCCAGGGGTGTTAACTTTCACACTTGGATAAAACCAACAATCTTGTTGTTTAGGACAGGATTTAAGGAAGGTATAGGGGATTTCAATCTTTCTCTAAAGTTGTAATAGAGAGATATTATTACTCCAATCAGGATATTTTTATTTGTATTATTTTTTTAAACATTTCTAATACTGATTTCAATGCCTAATGCAGAAAGGCTAGTTTGTTCCTTTCAGCTAAAGAGAGTAAATGTTGAGCACACTGTGAGTTGATTTTACTGGAAATACTAGTTCAAACTGTGTTACTCTGATGAGTCACTGTTTTAATTACCCATTTGTGGTGAGAGGTTGATTCATTATGGATTTCTTCAGTTTTGACAGCTTTTTGTTGCTCAGAGTCATTGTCAGCTTTGCTTCAAGTGAAAGTTTATACACAGGTTTGTTTTTGTATCAGCTGTCATATTTTAATTTCATCTTTCCTGCAACAAGCTCACATTTCATCCAAGTTTGCAAAACCTGACTGACTGCAAACATGAGTATTCTGTTGTAATTGAAGGAGTTTCACTTGTTTTAGTGCTGCTATGTTTGAATTCCACAGCACAGCTTGAGGCAAGCCTTGGAACCTTCTATGCTCCAACAAGACCACTCCTGGATACAACTATATTGGAATACAGAGACCAAATCAGCAAATATGCAAGGAGATTCTTCCACCACTTACTCAGGTGAATGATATCTTTGGATTAATTAGTGTCAGACTAATTACCTATTCAAGGAGCTATCTTCTTTAATTAGAATATTCCATAATATGGCTATATCTTTTTTAATAGTCTGTCCTCTAAGAGAAAAACAAATTGGCTCTTGATATTCTTTATTTAATTCGTTCTTGTTTTCCTATTAAGGACTATATTGGAATATTGTTGAGGGCTTTTACATCATTACTACACTTTAATATAATTTGCCCCTTTAATACAAAAGCAAAAAAACCAGCTATGTAAAGTGAATTTAAAAATATTAATTGTACTCTTAACAATAGAGAAATGTTTATTTTAATTGCAGCTAAAATGAATGTGCTATAAAGTTCTAAGACAGTCACGGGTCTGCTTTACTTTCAAAATTACTGTAGAGAGATTTGCTCATTGTCTTCCCATACAAGGTGGCAAGTTGCTAGCTTCACTGTGCCTCATTTTCTCTGCTTTAATTTCCTTTAATTCTTTTAATCTTATGGATTATATGAAAAATTAGATAATGTCAAGAAGTTACTCTGAGACAGATACTGCAGAAGTTGAAGGACAAGTACATATAGCATTTCTCTATATATAAAGTTCAAAAAATGGATGGAAGATGAATGGATGGATAGAGATGGATGGATGGATAGATAGATAACTAGCTAGTTAGTTACTTTAGGGATACATCTGAATATGTCAATGCTAGAAGTAAAAGCGAAGAAGTGAGTATAACAAAATTTAGGGTATTGTGGAATGGGTTAAGAGAAATATGAAAGGAACAAGCCCATGGAGCCACCAAGGTATTAGTAATGTTCCATTTCTTAAGATAAGTGGGGTATATATCAGGGTCCAATAAAAATTATTATTCTTTTAGCTGAAAGTATACATTTTGTGTACTTTTATATATATTTTATGATAGAAAGTAATAGAATTTTCAGTTTCATGTACCATAAATTACATTGAGTTGAATTTAGAGTTTTAATTTTACTTACAGTATAACCTAGCTGTTGTAGTTCTTTTTAACTCAAGCAATTTCATGTATAGTCTCTCCTTTTTTTCTCAGAACAACCCTGCTAAGAAGGTATTATCAATTGACAAATAAGTAAACTATTTATAAAGTGGCACTTTGATCTCTACCCAACAGTGAAACCTTTAGAGAACAGTCTTTATAGGAGCTGAGAGATGTTAATATATTGCATGAGTTATGACCTATAATTGAATATTGCCTTTTTATCTGAACGATTTTAGTATATTCTAAGAGATTCTTCACCCTAAATGAGGCAGTGTTCTATGTATAATCATAGACATGACAAAAATACTGGGACTGATGTAGTACTGATGTAACCACACAGACTCTAAGTTTTCTGTGTGGTTACATCTGGAATTGAATGTTGTCTCTTAGGGTATACTAGGTTTTTCATATTTCCTTTTTTGTATGCTTTCTACTATTTCAATTATAATGAATGTTTAGTAGTTCTTTTGACAGTAGGCTATACACGGCATTATGAAAAAAGGAACGTTAAGTGTAGAAGAAATTGAATGAGATAGCTTAAGTTGGAGCCATCCTTTTGTTTAATCTGCTGCCAAGAAGTTCTGCTTAAGGGAAGAGAAAAAGGGCAAATACTTTTCTGTATTTGTGAAGTACTAGAATTGCGTTACCCTCTGTACTTGGCTAGTCAGTATTTTAATACTCTAAAAAAAGTTATTAGATAATGGAATAAGTCCTAAACAGTAAAGATCATCATAAAGAATTTTAAATTAAAGATGAAGGAAAGAGGCACCATGCAGAGTAGGGATATACCTAAGATCACCCACTGGTTAAGCTGAGGACTCAGATTGCTTGAGTCCAGATTAGAAAAAGAATAAAATAGTATATTGATTTTAATATCAAAAAGTATATGGTGGGGCTTCCCTGGTGGGGCTACTCTTCATTGCGGTGCATGGGCTTCTCATTGCGGTATGTTGTTGTGGAGCAGGGGCTCTAGGCGCACGGGCTTCAGTAGTTGTGGCTCACGGGCTTCAGTAGTTGTGGCTCACGGGCTCTAGAGCACACGCTCAGTGGTTGTGGCATGTGGGCTCGTAGCCGTGGCTTGCGGGCTCTAGAACGCAGGCTCAGTAGTTGTGGCACACGGGCTCAGTAGTTGTGGCTCACAGGCTCAGTAGTTGTGGCATACTGGCTTTGTTGCTCCGCGGCATGTGGGATCGTCCTAGACCAGGGCTTGAACCCCTGTCCCATGCATTGGCAGGCGGATTCTTAACCACTGTGCCACCAGGGAAGCCCCTATTGCTGATATTTTAAAGGATACAAATAAAACAGCCAGATGAAGAGATGCATAGGGCAAGTTATATGGGAAAGGACTCAAAGCCTCTGTGCCCTCTCCAAGTGCACCACCTTCCCAGCACCTCCATATATTCACCAATCCAGAAGCTCTCTGAATCTCCTCCTTTTGAGTATTTATGGAGGCTCCATTACATAGGCATGATTGATTAAATTACTGGCCATTGGTGATTAATTCAACCTCTGGCTCCCCTTTCCTCCCTCCTCCCCAGAACTCCAGGAGTGAGACTGAAGTTCTAACCCTCTAATCATGTGGTTGGTTTCCCTGACAACCAGCCCCCATCTGTAGAGGCTTTCAGAAAGTCACCTCATTAACCTAAACTCAGGTATGGCTGAAATGGGATTGTTATGAATTACAAAAGACTTTCCTTTCACCTTTTTGGCTCCTTGTCACTTAGGAAGTTCCAGGGAGCTCCTTTGTCACAAACAGTACAAAAATCGAATATATATATTTCTTATTATAAATCACAATATCATAGAAGGAAGATGCAGGTTTGCCTAAACTAAGTTCAGAAGGTGATTGTTCACCTCTCTGCTTCCATAAAATTGAACAGTCCTCCAGAACTACTGAGTAGGGAAGTATTAATGGAATATTACTCAGCCATAAAAAGAAATGGAGTTATTTGTAGAGAGGTGGATGGATCTAGAGTCTGTCATACAGAGTGAAGTAAGTCAGAAAGAGAAAAACAAATACTGTATGCTAACACATATATATGGAATCTAAAAAAAAATGGTTCTGAAGAACCTAGGGGTAGGACAGGAATAAAGACGCAGACATAGAGAATGGACTTGAGGACACAGGGAGGGGGAAGGGTAAGCTGGGACGAAGTGAGAGAGTGGCATTGACATATATACACTACCAAATGTAAAATAGACAGCTACTGGGAAGCAGCCGCATAGCACAGAGAGATCAGCTTGGTGCTTTGTGTCCACCTAGAGGGGTGGGATAGGGAGGGTGGGAGGGAGACGCAAGAGGGAGGGGATATGGGGTTATATGTATACGTATAGCTGATTCACTTTGTTATACAGCAGAAACTAACACAACACTGTAAAGCAATTATACTCCAATAAAGATGTTAAAAAAAAAAGGGAAGTATTAACAAGTAAGAGCTTTTCATTATAAATGAATAGAAACTATAAGAGGAACTCCTAAATATTGATGAAATAAAAGGGCAAACATTTCAGTGAATGTGCCACATATGAAGCTTATTTTACTAACATGGAAATATGTTATAAAGGATTAATAGTTAATTTTACTTGTTTATTTCCCCTCTTAACTATAAGACTTGTTTTCTGACTCAAATGGTATTATGTGATTATGGCACAGAGAGTCATATTTTTAAAATGCTTATAAAATAGTAAGCAAAATCTTGGGACAGGGAGCTTTATTGCCTAGAAATAAAAATATCATGTTTATAAAATATTTGTGGGGAAATGTACTGATGTCTGCATTTTCCTTAGCACTGCAACAAAAAAGTAAGATGAACTGATGGATAGGAAGGGAGATGAATAGATATGTGATAAAACAATGTTGTAAAATGATGACAGAATCTAGGTGGTAAAAATATATATATATTATTTTAACTTTCCTGGATGTTTGAAAATTTGTATAATATGTTGGAGGATAATATGTATTATGTTGGAGTCAATATTTACACTTAGAATTCAGAAAAAAAAAGGTAGTCTTTTAGAAATGGCTCTTGGCTTATGAAAAATATATGTGTTAGGCAAAAAGAAATTGTTAACCACTTTGAATTTTAAATGGCTTTTTAAATTTTACTTTTTACTAATGGAGCATACACAGTAAATAAAACGATTATATGAAACCAATTCAAAAAACAAAAATACTAAAACTGCTACCTCCGAATATTTGGAGAATAAGACAGAATGATCTACAGAGAAAAACGTCCTGGTCAGATCATCTGTTTAATGGATAATATATTTAAAATATTTGTTTAAAGCATGGTAGAGCTGGCAGGAAACTAAGGGAAACACTCAGAGGTTGAAATGACAAGGATGCTTGATTCCACAAGAATAAGCAAAGTCAAAGTTTGCCTTGAGGGCATCTGCTGGCACCTGGCAGTGAGGTGCTTGATTTTTAAAGGCTGTATACTCAGAGGGTTGGAGACAAAGCCTAGGGCTCAAGCAGAGTGGGAGACTGGATCAGAGATCCCCACATCAATCTAGGACCCTTGAAGGGCAACATCTTCCTTGAGAGAACTAAAAGGAAGGAAGGTATGAGATGCAAGAAGGAATGGTGGACAAAAATAATGTTAAACTTGTGGGAACTTAAACAAAAATGGATCATGTAAAACATAACCACTAATGTCTAATGCAGGTGGTTAAATTAAGATAAAATCCTGCACAATGACAACATATAAATCAGGAGAGAAGTGAAGAAGTTAAAGCATTCTAAGGTCCTTGACTTTTCAAGAGGAAAGTAGAGACACTTATTAATACCAGATTTTATTCAGTAAAAGATACACGGTAGAATTTCTAGGGTAATCACTGAAAGAATAGAAATAGAGTGTATACTTGTCAAACAAATAGAGTGAAAATGTTGGATAAGGAAAAAAAAAATTCAGCCCCAAAGAAGGCAAGAATTGGGGGAGGGTGCAGCATGCAGGGGGAAGAAACATAAAAAAAGATGAAAAACAGA